CTGGATATTTTACTGCGTTTTAAGTAAAAAATCCAGACCTTAAAAGAAGGATCTACAGATTTTGAGGTATTTCAGATCTAAATAGCGGTGAGAGCTAAGGAAGACGTGAATTGTGTTGGATCAAACAACCAGCAGTTCATTCCTGATGCCCACGCATCAAACAGCCCATGCCTCCTGAGGAGCAGAGAGCAACAGAGAACTGACCCGATGACTCATCCAAAACATCTAGAGTTTCATTACTTCCCTCTTATGTAATCCTGGCTCTTTCTGACACCACTATGAAAGCAATTTAACTTTGAAACTTTCAGCATTACACGTTATTCGAGCAGAAAGGTTCCAATGGCTTGCAAATCCACCATCCCCAGGGAGCGTGGAGCGGTACAGTTAGTCTGTAAGTGAGCCAGCCTAACCCTCACAGTGTCATTTCCTCACCATCAGTCTGTTTGAATCCCTCCTCTACTTGGAAAGCTTGTCGATACCTTTACCTCGCACACCTCTCACTTCACTGCACAAGAGCAGGGGGAGAGGTTTAGAGTGTGGGAAACAACAGCAGCCTCAGCTGTTATCCAGCAGAACTCATCTGAATGCGCCGGGATGTTCCCCTGCTGGGATTCAGAGCCTCAATCTAAACACGTTCAGCTTTATCTACATGCCATGTTCATCCACCTTAAAATGGATGACTAATAGTAAGAGTGTGTAAACATGAAATTCTTATCAGCATGGGGGCAACTTTTCGTCATCATTGTTTGATCATTCACAGCAGAGTTCTGCTTGTAAACTCTTTCAGAACCGCAGGCTCCTCGGTGCCGCATTGATGGGGATGTTCCACCTTTAGGTGTCAGTGAGGACATGTTGGGAATGATGATAGCATCTTCCTTTATAACAGGTGAGCTCTAATCAGGAGCTCACCTGTTGACCCCAGGCTATCTGAACCAAGCATTAGTCTGTGATGCACCAGGGGGAAAATAAAGGAAGACAAAAAGAAATGAGGAAAATGCAGGAGTGTTTTACTCAGCAGCTGGTGAGCTGCGCATAGGGACCTGCTGGGGTGGTCACCAGCAGTAAAGAATCGAAGGCTATCTCAGTCCTGATGGTTTATCATCATTATCAGCTCACCTTTCTCCTCCGACGTCGACCTTCATCCATCAATTGTTGTTCTTTTTATCTTTCCTTCTTACATCCTGAAGTGAAACACCAAGAAACTGTCTTTTTAAAGTAACATTTAGGAAGAGAAAAACGCTTTGTTCCAACACTGCTTCTTCTGTCTCTAATACCTGCTGCTTACACACAACCTCCTCCTCCTACACATTTTAAACATCTTTTATTTATTGATTATTTAACTGCTTATTCTTTCTAATCATTTCAAATTACTTTCATGGCAGACCTAAACCTTCTGCTCTCGTGGGTAATCCGTTAATGTTTCACTTCAGCTTATACTAAAGATGAAAAAATAAAAAATTACAAGACTCCATTTATTGTGTTTTACATGGAGATGTTCACTGGTTATTTTTACAAGTCCCAGTGTTTAATGACTTAAAAAAAAACATGTTCTTATTAAATCCAGAACATCCAGATCAACCTTTGCATTGCTGCAGGGGAGGATGTTTTCCCTTACTTCTGAGGTATTACATGAACATTTAAAAACCTTTTTGATACATTATTTTTATGGGTTATATTTTCAATGAATAAAGTATCTTAATATAAAAAAAAATCTTACAAATATTTTTCTTATAATTATTAAATGTAATATTTACCGTATAAGTAATATAGGTAGGTATTTATTAATAATGGATGAATATGTTCATCTCTCCATAACTATTTGTTTAAACTTTTTTGTTCCCTGTATTTGTATTTTGATTGTTTGTAAAGTTACCTTGAGTGTCTAGAAAGGCACTATTAAATATTGTTATTATTATTATCATTATGAAGACTTTTAATCCTAGTCCCATGTTGTCTACTCCTCTGATGTTTGAAGGGTTTTCTTTTCCTTCCTCTGAGCTGGAGGTGTTTTAATGATTAGGAACTTTTCTCTGAACCCACATTCAAAACCTTTGTACTCAATTAAAAATAATATGGTGTTTGTATTATAAAATAATGAATGAGACAAAGTGTTGCAGGTCATTAAATAACATGTAAACTTCAGAAGGAAAATGCAAGTTATTTTTTATTTTATATTCGCCTAGTCAGAAATGTCTTTGTTAGCTGTGGCTGGCTTAGCAAAGACAGAGTGTTGGAGGTATGTTTTTGTTTATTTTGTGTATTGATTTAAAGCTTTTTAATGCAGAAAAAAAGTTGTTAGGAGCCATTAAAATCTCACAATAATCCAGCAACATCATGAGATAATAACCCTTATCATACTGGGCTCTATTACATGTTCTTTAAATTTGATAAAAATGGTACAAATGCTTGAGTCTCAGAGAAAAGTCTAAGTTAAATCTAAAGTCTGCATCACAGCAGCCTTGGTAAAGTCTTGTCATTTTGCTGATGAAGATTCTTGTCATTTTCTTTTTCAAGTTCCCAGATCTTGTTTTATAACAGTTTTCATAACTTCCTTCAGAACACCCTTCAGCAGCCAGAATGATTCTCGACATAACGATTTTACTGCATATTATCTCCTTTAGATGGTGGTCAGAGGGCCCAGCAGTCCTGATGTATCTTTCAGTCTGCCATAGGTTAGCGGTGGTACCTGCTCTCAAGAGGGAACGTTTATTAAACGCGTGTGAGAGCATCCACAAGCCCATTTCTCCTTGTGCATGCTCTGTTTAAAAGGTGCCGTTTGCATCGCTCATACGAGTTTACATTCAAAAATAAGGTTTGCAATTTATCTGCTATGATAGACTCACCACCGGTAAGTAAAAAAAGGGGGACGAGCACGTAGGACGGCCAAACATTTTACCAGAATGATTAACAATTAGGAGGACCACTTATTTTGATGATCCACCTGAAAAAAAAACATCCTCCACTATACCTTTAATGTAGTTGGTGGGGGCTGAACGTAAACTAGGATAACAGGAAGAGGGGTCACAGTGACAACAGTTTTTTGAAAATAACTCATAGCTTCCACAGCTGTTTTTCCTACTGCTTGGATCTGCAGATCCTACAATGTGTTCTGACCAGACAGAATAATAAAACCGTCATACGAGATGGGGGATTTCTCTCCACCGATGGAATAAAAGATATGATGTTTCTGTGGAGGAGGACAGTTGTCCTGTGCAATACCAGTCTGGGTTCTAGAACTGATCGATGCCCTACACTGTAAAAAAAAAACGGCCTCATTTTACGGTAAAAAACTGGCAGCTGAGTTGCCAGAAGTTTACCGTCTTTATACGGTAAAATTCTGGCAACCAAAACTGCCAGTTTTTTACCGTATTTCTAAAATACGGTAAAATTCTGGCAACCAAAGCTGCCAGTTTTTTACCGTATTTCTAAAATACGGTAAAATTCTGGCAACCACAGCTGCCAGTTTTTTACCGTATTTGCTAAATGCAGGATTTTACCGTATTTTTAATATACGGTAAAATTCTGGCAACCACAGCTGCCAGTTTTTTACCGTATTTGCTAAATGCAGGATTTTACCGTATTTTTAAAATACGGTAAAATTCTGGCAACCACAGCTGCCAGTTTTTTACCGTATTTGCTAAATGCAGGATTTTACCGTATTTTTAAAATACGGTAAAATTCTGGCAACCACAGCTGCCAGTTTTTTACCGTATTTGCTAAATGCAGGATTTTACCGTATTTTTAAAATACGGTAAAATTCTGGCAACCACAGCTGCCAGTTTTTTACCGTATTTGCTAAATGCAGGATTTTACCGTATTTTTAATATACGGTAAAATTCTGGCAACCACAGCTGCCAGTTTTTTACCGTATTTGCTAAATGCAGGATTTTACCGTATTTTTAATATACGGTAAAATTCTGGCAACCACAGCTGCCAGTTTTTTACCGTATTTGCTAAATGCAGGATTTTACCGTATTTTTAAAATACGGTAAAATTCTGGCAACCACAGCTGCCGGTTTTTTACCGTATTTGCTAAATGCAGGATTTTACCGTATTTTTAATATACGGTAAAATTCTGGCAACCACAGCTGCCAGTTTTTTACCGTATTTGCTAAATGCAGGATTTTACCGTATTTTTAATATACGGTAAAATTCTGGCAACCACAGCTGCCAGTTTTTTACCGTATTTTGTAAATGCAGGATTCTACCGTATTTTTAAAATACGGTAAAATACCGTACTTCCTAAAATATTTAAAAAAAAATAAAATGTGGTTTTGCCGTAGTAAATACGGTCATGCTGACTGAGGCATAATATCTCCATGAGTGAAAAACACATCCAGACTGGATGATATATTGACATTTTATTGTAAACCCTCCCCCCCAAAAAAAACTTATGGTAAATTACTGGTCTCTGTTCCTACCAGAATTTTACCATACAAATTATAGTACAACACACAAGGAAGTGTAACTTGTCAAGCATTTCTATACAGAAAGTTATAAAGAAAATAATTTCTAATTAAACAAAAATACAGATTACGAGTAATCCACTTAAAGAAACAATTTCTATTTAAAAAGTCAAGTTAAAAAAAGAACTGATTCTATTTTCTGTCCAGTTTCCTCACGGTATTACTGAGATCTGGAAAACAGAAACAGAACAAACAGTATGTGTCCACATAAGAGATAACATATTGTAGAAGACAAAATGGTGATAAAAGGATTCTTGTTCTGGGTTGAGAGTCACAAGTCGCTGAGATCAGACGTTGCTCAGGATGGTTGTAGTCTTCCCAGTCACAGGTTGAAATTGAGACTCGCATGTTGTCAATCGGGTGTTTCCTCTCTGCTGGAAAACAAAAAGAAAAAGTTAGAAAGATGCACTACATGAACATCTTATTCGCTTAAATGTTTGTTTCACCTTTGTTGACTTGCATATGGACACAGGTACTTCAACCAGGTGGTGCGATCATTTCTGACTGAAAATTCAGTAGTTAAACCTTTGTTTGTTGTCAACAGGTGTGATCCTCTGGTCTGCAACCAGACAAAATACACAAACAAAAAACAAATAAAAACAAATATAACTGTTTTAGGCAATTTATGAAATAGATACTCACCATTTATCTGAGTCTCATGAAGGCCAATAGGTTGTCTTCAACCATTTATGTAAGTTACATTTCCTGCAAGCTAGCAGAAACAAAGCTGTAAATGTGAACACTTTTCATACAGGCAAACAAATTGATACAGCTGAGACAATTTATGCTAGGTTAGTTTTTCTCAGTCACTTTTGGTGCATTTCTCAAGTCATTGTTGGCATTTACAAAACAGTAAGCGCATTTCTCAAAACAATTTGTAGAAACAGGAAAAATAGCATTTGTTTGCTTTCAAAATCCTTAGTTCAGCTCTTAAAATTCTGTCTGTTAACATATCAGTGACTCAAAATAATAAGTTATAGTCTCTCTATGTACAGATAAGACAGTCAAATTGATTAGTCATGAGAAGAGACTACAAAAGGATCATTTACGCCAGTGTTTCTCAACCCTGCTCCTCACCACCCCCTGCTCTGCATGTTTTAGATGTGCCTCTACTCCAGAACAGCTGATTCAAATGATTGGATGACAATCAAGTACTGCAGAAGCTTGTTAATCATCCAGAGATACAATTCAGGTGTGTGGCAGAAGGGAAATACCTAAGCCTGCAGGACAGGGTGACGCTGAAGACCAGGATTGAGAAACACTGATTTACGCTTTTGCTATAATTTATTCATGGACCATGCCTTGGTGATTCAGAAAGAAAAAGACAGAAATGCAGAGAACAAAAAAAGTAGAAAAGGAGCCACAGGACAATCTCCTCAAGGAAAACTGTACAGTGCTGTAGAAATTACATTACATTTTAATTTCCATAGTCACTTTGTTCCTTAACTCCACTGAGGATCTTTTTTCCTCAGTGGGGTTAAGGAATGAACAGTAGGGTGGGAGGACCTCCATCAGCGTCATGTTGTGGGTCTCAGCCATGTCCTGATGTTGGACTGATGGAAACTGGCAGATGTCCTCAGCCTCTTCTGACTCTTCTTCTGCTTTCCTCCCAACTATTTCCTCCTCAGCCTCACTCCTCTTCTTCTCTCTGGCTGTTCACTCTGTCCAGATACTTGTTCATCAGTTCTCAGACATGTAACATTGTGTTGTGTTCTGACTATATAGAGCATAATGTTGCCAACTGATGGTTCACAAGATGCACCTCCAATCTGTTTCAGAAAACTGGTTGATCGTTGGTTGAGCTAATGGTTCATACACTGACCTGTTAGAGAAACTCAGGACTCACTTGGGAGCAATTTACCAATTCAGGACAGATTTAGAAAATAATAGAATATAAATTAATTAATATATGATTCACATTATGACAACTTTAAGACTTATGCATGTTAAGACTTACACAATGAACTGATGCTATTTTGGAAGTGGAGAATTCAACACAGACACGTTGTTGTCCTGTTGTCCTCATTTTCTGTATACACCCTTTATCCTCCGGGTCAAAATGACCCGTCTTCACTAAACCCCCAATATAAGCAGCTTAATTGAATTTTAAACACCAAATTCTATCTTGTATATTGTCACTCACCACAAAATGTGTGAATACTTGAGTTTTCCCTCTCCACTTGAATTTCTATAGCTTAAGAAAAAAAATGTGCAAAATGAGTTTCGAATGCATTTTTATTCATCACAGTGACTAATGTTCTTTTACTTTTCTCCAGTGAACAAGAGGATGTACAATACAAAAATATGAAAAATAACATAACCCATTCAACTAATTGGCACATGTAGGGCAGTATGCAAGTGCACAGTCTTTGCAGATATATTTCTTACACCTGCAGCACACAGTATGTGTTTTACAGTCTGAGGGCAGAACTGACATCTCTTCCTCTTACTTGGCTTAGCTGGGGAAGTGGCTGTGGTAGATGGATCCTCAGGTTGATCAGGTGCTGCTGCACTCTGAATAGCTTTCACAACTGCTGCTGAGGCTTCTGTGCAGGGGACATGCTTCCTTCTTTCAATGAGTGGAGTTACAAGTGCCTTTCCTAGCTGCTCCAGGAACACCCTCCTCTTGTTGTGCTTATGAGACATCCAGGTTGGGTTGATCTCTATCCAAATCACAAAGGCATTGTAGGAGGACACATCAATGATGTTGTGGAAGATGACCAGGGGCCAGCGGGCAGTCATTCTTCTGCAGCTATATGCTCCAATCACCTTATCTAGGTTGTCCACACCTCCTTTGTTTCGGTTGAATTCCAGGATAATGATTGGCTTCCTGTCCTCACGGTCACTAGTGTCGCCGTCTTTGTGCAGTGTGCTCAGAAGAACTACATTCTTGTTTTTCTTTGGGAGGTAGGAAACTAGAGTGGTGGTGGGTGTGAAGGCAAACTTTGAGGAGAAGACCTCTCTCTCCTTTGACCCAAGCAGTGCAGGTGGGAGCTCAGGCTTGTTCTTTCGAACTGTACCAACCATGGTGATCTTCCTCTTCAGGAGCTGCTGTCCGAGTTCATAAGAGTTGAAGAAATTGTCACATGTCACATTGTGAACCCTCAGTCCCTCTGTCACATCAAGCACAACTCGCAACCCCTGGTTCTTCTCTGGGCATCCACTGGTTGACTTCCCAGTATAGACTTGCATTTTCCAAGCATAGCTTGATTCGGAAGCCACCCATGACTTGATCCCATATTTTGCTGGCTTGCTGGGCATATACTGCTGGAAAGGACAACAACCTTTGGACAAAAGACATTAGCATCAGTGATTAGTATCAGTGTCACAGAAAACAGTCAAAGAAATCAATAGTGAAAATCACTTTTATTACAAATATGAAAACAGATTACCTCTAAATGGAACCAGTTGCTCATCCACTGTTACATCAGGCTCTGGATTGTAGAGGTAGGGTAACCGCTCCACCCACTTGTCCCATACCTCTCTTATGGCTGCAAGTTTGTCTGTCATACATCTTGCTGGTCTTGATTCACGGTCATCAAATCGCATCAGTCTTGAGTAGGTGTGAAAGAGTTTGAGTGGCATTGTGGCTCGGAAAATTGGCCTTCCACTCTCTGCTTACTTCTGCTACTGATTGATCTGAGACACAACTAAAACTTTGTAACATTTTATGGTTTGTAAATAACTCTGTGACCTTGATTTCAACTCCATTTGCCTCACGGGTCATTTTGACCTGAAGACCATCTTTGTACCTTTTTTTGTACAGCTTACATGGAAATGAGACTAAAAGCAACACTGAACTTTTTCTATTGTCTGGGCCAATCTAGGAAAAGTCTTAAAATCTCAAGTTAAAAAAATTACATTTAGGGGATTTTGGGGGGGGGGGTTAACACAGTGGCGGGTCATTTTGACCCGCGGACAACAGGAGGGTTAACATATTTTGATCAAGACGATAAAAGCAAATTACAATTATAAAAGCATAGAAGTGTACATAACCAGCTACATGATGTACAAAAGCAAAACTTGCAAAACTAATTTTTTGATGTGCAGAAGTGACACAGTAATTTGAAGATTGAACAGGTAGTTTTAGGAATTTCAATTCTGTTATGAGAGATGCACCCAAACTGAGAAAAGCTGTAAAATATTAATATTTAAATTCTCTTATTTTAAAATCCTTCAACTGTCATGGACCCAGTGACTTTAGTGCAAGTATTTTGGGGGTGAGAGTCAAGACGGCAAAGGAAAATATTAAATAATATCTCTGATGCCAAGCTTTATACTTCTAAGTATTACCAAAGTATTGAAACAAAAGCTAACATGTTCTTCAGAGATTTAACTTGCATGCATGAACATTTCACACTCAAAGTAATTCAAATTAATTATTGAACCAAACTTGGAAAAAGTTGCTTCTGCCATTAACAATAACTTTAAGCACATGTAGTCTAAAGTAGACCAGAAATATAATCTATGCAGCCGTTCCTACAGAAACATTAATGGAAGTGTTGCATCTGTGAAGATTAAATGTTCTGTATAGTAAAAATATATAGCTGCAGTGCATATACATAAACAGCATGGCTCAGAAACTACACATTTCTTTGTCAGTTGGTTAAAGTTAGCTAACTTCAGTTAAAACCGTGAAAGGGACTCACCTGTGATGTGTTGCCCTTCTCCTCCTGAACGTGCAAAAATAGCAGAAATTTGATTTCAAAGACAGTAGCAGCATCTTGACAAGGACCAGGCCTACTGGGCTCTCAGCACCCTAGTTAGCAACCTTAGTTAGCACAGTGACTTTACTGTGTTGAGTTCAGGACACCACTACAGGAACAGAGTTAAAAGAATCTTGCTGCTGATGCTGAAGGATCAAGCAGCAATGCAAACTAGATAATTATTTGTTTACATGACAAATAACAGTCTCCATTTACTGTAAACCCTGCTATTTATCACAATAACAAAATGAAAAACTCTCTAGACAAGGGGTCCCCAAACTACAGCCTGTGTCATTTGGTCTGGCAATGCTTGATCCGGCCTGCCTCCTCATACCAGAGAGCATTCAGTGTATTTTTGTCATATATTGTATTTTCTGGTTTGTGGATTTTTCTTCAACCACCAGGGGGCTCTTGAGCAGATGTTAAACTAACTTTCCCTCAAATATATACTAGTCAGTCCCAGTCACCGTTTCACTCACGGTTTTTTCCATTTCCATTCTGGGTAAAAATCTATCTAAAAGCGACCGCGAATGTGTCGTAGTCAGCAATAACCCCCCCCCCCCCCCCCCACCCCCTCCCCCCCCCGTCGACAGTTTCAAAGACAGAACAGCACACCCCCCCCCCCCCCCCCACCCCCGCTTGGGGACCCCTGCTCTAGACTATTCTCTACTAATAGCACAATATTTAAAACCAAGTGTGGGATTTGTGAAAATTCAATGATGGGTGACTTTACAACTTGTATGATTTTGGATAACACTAGAATTGTTCTTTATTGAAGTTTCACAAATCAGATAAAGGTTTTACAAACCCCACACTTGGTTTTAAATATTCTGATATTAGTTGAGAATAATCTAGTCCAGATTTGAAGAGTCTAGGTGTTGTAGTTTTTTAGCTAGAGTAAATTAAAGATGCTGATTGTAGTGAAAAATTAGGTGGAATTGCCCTTTAGCCATTTCCCAAATTGGAAGCAGCAATTGGAAACCAACTTCAGCTTCATTCAAGCAAGAGGGGCTAACATACAGTTCTCTTAATGTTAATGATCAAATACTCTCATAAGTGATGGTGGCGTTGGCTGTAGGAGTTTGCTTTGCAATCGGTGGATCGCCAGATCGATGCCTGGTCTACTGCTGAGATTTCAGTTTGGTGTATTAAAGGCATTATTAAAAAAGAAACCAGAATATCACACCAGCATTCTGTTCTTTGTAAAAAATTCTTTTGCAGTCTTGTTTACGCTTTTACATTGTAGATCTAAACATCAGCAAAATTTGTAATTTTGGCTGATTGCTACTGTTAAGTTTAGGGTAATTAACTGCTGGCAATATTACAATTTTTTAAGAACTTTACAATTACTTATATTTTTACACTATATTTCTGTATTTTCTACATTCGTGACTGTCACAATTATTTAGGATATATATTTATTCAGTTATGATAATGCCATGTATTTTCTACGGCAGTATAATGCTGTGAATATTCTGGTCAGTAACTGCTAAGCAACTGTGTTGCATTGTTTTAAAATGCTTATGATTGAGTCACCCTATAACTATTTACTAAATACAATATATAGATTTATAAGCAGAACATTTTGAGAACCCCTGCACTACAAGTCAATAGAAGAGAGTAATATATTTTAAGATGTATTTGTAGAAATCAATTATTGTAATGTAGTTCTATGCAACATTTTGCTGATTAACTTCAACAAACTTTGTAATTTGGGAAATTAGTACCATTGATTATTAATTACTGGTAAAGAATACAATTTTTCTATGGATTTTACCATTTCTATTATTTTTACAATCCTTTTTTTTATTGCTCATGACTGTCAAAAATTCATGATATATATGTGTATTGACTTACGGTAGTTCCATGTAATTTCTACGGTAATGCGATGTTTTTGGATACGACGGTCAAAACCTGTTGGTCTTTTACCATTTCTTACCGTAAATTTACTGACTTTCTTTGCAGTTTCGACTTACGGTAGTTCCATGTAATTTCTACGGTAATGCAATGTTTTTGGATACGACGGTCAAAAACTGTTGGTCTTTTACCATTTCTTACCGTAAATTTACTGACTTTCTTTGCAGTTTCGACTTACGGTAGTTCCATGTAATTCTACGGTAATGCAACGTTTTTGGGTACGACGGTCAAAAACTGTTGGTCTTTTACCATTTCTTACCGTAAATTTACTGACTTTCTTTGCAGTTTCGACTTACGGTAGTTCCATGTAATTTCTACGGTAATGCAATGTTTTTGGATTCGACGGTCAAAAACTGTTGGTTTTTTACCTTTTTTTACCGTAAATTTACTGACTTTTTTTACAGTGTAAAGTAAAAAAAAATGCTATTTTTAAGCCCAACTTTTGGGGCAGACACATTATTATAATTAAATACTCCAAGAAAAGGCACAAAGCAAAGAAGTTAAAATTAAAATAACATTTATTAGGTATTGATATCAAAGTCAGGTTAGAGTTGATTTGATAGATTGGGTTCATTTTTAGGGTGTAAACTCTGTCCATGCCTCTGCCTCTCAGATCTAACAGATTCCCAGTTAAAATCAAATAAAACATGTTTTTAGTGCCTAGTTTAGTTTTAATGTGCTCCAAAGATTATTATACAAACATTGGCATTTATTAATATTTACACCTTTAGCTAATCAAAGAGTGATCAAAACAGTTAGAGCATCACTAGGGCAGGAGTAAGTACTGTAGAGCCAGGCATGGTGCATACTGTTCTGCTAAAATGGCTCAGCTTTATGAAGTCAGAATTCTGCCCTAAGGTTGAATTATTAACAAATACACATATAGGCAGTTTTATTTACACCACAAGGATGTAAATTACTCTCCATGAACATTTTAAAAGTTCTATGCAAGCAGATTCAGTAATATGAGCCCCCAAATGTATGACACGCATGAGGGCATGCTCTTTCTCTGTGCTCAAGGCTTGCTTTTTATGTGCCTGCAGATTATCTCCTACTCATGTGAATAAGCTTCTGTGCGCTCATTTCAGATTTTGTCATTTTGAGGATGGAACCACCCTGGGAAAATAAACTGCCTATGATAGGCTACTTTTCAGGAAATTCAACCTCTTGAAACAGTACTGTTTTCTTGTGGCTAGTATGTTAAGAAATAAAACATTGTCAGGCCTTTTAGTTTTCTTAATTTTAACGTGTGATAATTGAAAAAGGATATCTCACAATGTGTGCTATATCTAAAAAATAAAATATATTAAAATAAAATTTGTTTTGTTATTTATTTCATGTGCCAATAAAGTTAGAATAAAATGGTATAACAGAATCAGAAGTTAGCAGTGGCTGTAGAGTAATCCAATGGGATTTTCCACACCAGTACTACAAACTGCACCTACAAAACAGAAAGGCTGAATAATTGATTTCCATTTAAAACTACATGCAGATCTCAGGCTCCATGAGTTTACAAGAATAGACATGGTGCTATAACAAAGTTAACTTAAAAAAAAAAAAAAATTCCAGGGACGGCAAAGGAAATTTGATTCTTTTGATGGAATGTCAAAGGCTGAAAATCCTAATCTGATTTCTAGAACGACAGAAAAATACACTTTCAAATTTAAGCGAACATCCAACCCCATCCGATTGCAAATGAAGTAACTATTCAATGGGAATCCACTCTGTTTCCCAGCTGTGAGGTAGGAGCAGATAAATTATTCTCTAGCAGGCAGCAACGTCTGCTTTTATTGCCCTTGGAAGATGAAAAATAATCCTGATAAGTATGTTCGACAGGGTCTCACGCAGGTCTGTTTGCTGCTGTTACTGGCAGGTTTCCTTCTCCGAGAGCAAATAAAACGAAGGGAAATCAAATCTGAACTTGAAACATTTCTTAAACTGTTATTTAAAGGTTGATTTTTAGAGCAGCTTCCTTTTTTTTCTCCACACTGTGTTAGCATGTCAGTATCTGTGGAGTGTAAAAGCAGTGAGCTTTGAAGAGGTAAGTGGAGGACCAGGGTCTGTCTTAGAAAACAGAGCAGTATCATTATATGCCTGCAGCACACTTTCTCTTTGCTTCCTCTGTCTCTGTTTGATCGTCGTCTGGAAGAGGAGGAGAAACGACAGAAGCAAAAACTAGGAGAGAAGAGAGAAAGGAGTAGGAGGAGCAAAGTGAGCAATCTGAGCCGATTGTTATTAAGCAGGCTGGTCTGGTTCTGGCACAACCTAATTTTAACGGACTTTGCTCACGGTGACTTTATGGCCGTCTTTGATCTGGCAGCACAATAAGTGGTCTGTGTTTGGACTAAGCTACTAGAAAATATATTGCCTGCTGTTTCTGGTGTTCTTGGTTTGTCAAGGTAAATGTCTGCATGTGTGGAAGACGAACTCATTGCACATGCAGAGGAGACAAGTGTTGATTAAAGGGTTTTCTGTAACTGCACGGAAAAGTTGAC